TCTTGCATTATATTCAGATGTGTTACATGCTCAGTACAAGCTTGATGAATGAATGAAACAAAGACAGGAAGAAAATAGACAAGTGAAATTGATAATCACATAAGATTGTTTAATGTTTCAGACAACTCATTTTAAAAGTATTTTTTATAATAAAATATTTTTTTAAATAGAAAAGTTGTGTATATGGTACTTTTGAAAGATTGTTTTAAATGGGTCAACCCTCAGTTATTTCTTAAAGGGTGAGCTCTCAATTACTCTGAACATAGAAATACACAGCGCCTGCCATTTAGTGTGTACCCAGTATGTACTGAATGAATAGTCAGATTTATCATGAGTTAGAAGAGCAATGGGCAGCCATAAAGAATGGAGACCTGTGCAAACCTATGATTTGGATCATTATTTCACTGAAGTGAAAAGGGAACCAATCAGGTTCATGGTAGTCAGGTTTTCCTGCCCAGTTCTCTGGGGGTCCTCGCTGCAGGTGAACACTCAAGAGGATACTGAGAACTTCACACGCAGCTGGGGTCAAAGACAGCCGAGTCATCTGCCCTTATATAAATCCCCATCCTCACCGAGGCAAAGGGGGAGTCTGTCCCTCCCAAGTTCCAGACATAGCCGTCAGACCGTCCCTCTGGTGTATTGTCTCCTTGTTCATTTTATTTGAGGAAGGGGTGACAAAAGTGTGGAGGTGCTCGGGAAGGGGTTCAGCACACAGTGATTTATTCTGCCAACAGAATATTTGGATGGTAATCATCAAATCATTTCTTGTCTGGAAAAGTTAAAGAAATTGCAGGCATTTTTCAATGTTAGCTAATACACAAAACTTGTGAGAAAGGAAGAAAATTCACATCCATCGTGTGCCAGATTCTGTAATACATTTTCACATTTATTTTGTGGAATATAATAAATCATTATACATCCTGTTTCAGATCCAATGGTCTACCCATGTGAAAGAAAAGCTCTTCACCTTTGGTGATGTGGGTGAAAGTGTTAGTTCTTTCCTTGGAAAAAGCTTCGAAGGTTAGAATGTATCATTTTTCACAGCATTAAAGAATCTCAACTAGGGCAATGAGTGTCCATTGTTCATGTTACATGTTTGGGAACAAGAGTATATTTCTGACAGCCGAGTGTAGAAACACTTGAGACCCAGAATTTTTTTAAAATTTTATTTTGGTATCATTAATCTATAATTACATGAAGAACATTATGTTTACTAGGCTTCCCCCTTCATGAAGTCCCCCCCCCC